TACCCTTATTAATTTGACCTCAAATTATTTTAATTAGAAAATGTTAGTAGCACCCTTACTTTTTCGATTTTGGAAGAATTTTGTTTAGTATAAGTCTATTTTTAAAACTTCCTTTGAAAGCATTATAATTAACTACAATGGGGATATTAGGCAATATCAATTCTATTTTTTATAAGCCACTTGTAACAACTCGCACTCAATCACTACAATGGACACTACAATGGATGATCGTTTGAACACTAATTATGTGGGAGATTACCTATTGGGAAGAAAAACTTCTTCTATATGTGAGTGGTACTCTAATATTCTCAACGATTATTAGTTAAGTTAAGGCATACAATACGACTTACAAGTCATTTCTCATTTTGGTTAGTGATGAATTCGTACTGTTGACGAGGCTACTTCTTAGATGAGGTAATTCCTTTACCTGTTCTAAGTAAAGAAATGCAGATAAAAGACAAGGTAAATTGTGGGTGATTACTGAACTCTTTGTAGAAGTTTACGAGTATTAGAAGCAACTATTATGTTGTTGGAATTATTAGAGGTAAGAGACATCATTATAATTTTGATATTAACTCTCCTATGTTGTTCTAGGAATGCTGGAGTATATTTTTAAACAATACAATTGCCTGTTGACAAGCCAAAGAATTCATGCCATATCGATCAAAAGCCACAACAAGGGAGCTATTTATGTTGAACAGAAGTCACATTCGACTTGTCACAAAGTTTCTTACTGGGCATTGCGGAGTTAAAAAGCATCTATCGAACCTAGATATTACTAGAGACGATAGCTGCAGACTTTGTTGCGAAGAAGAGTAAACAGCAAAACACACTCTTTGTCACTGTGATAATCTTGCCAGACTCATACTTCGGTACTTATACACTGCCTATCCACTTATAACGGAATTAGACAACATTTCTCCAAAGTACATTATGACTTTCTTAACTGTTACTCGTCTATGGAACTAAAGTGGGTATGTCACAATAATCATCAAAGGATGCAGTGACGTGGTGACAAGTTCTTAACCTATTTTAAAATCCAATCTAATCTAATATATTCAAATAAATGCTCAATTATCTTCTGGTAAGTAATAACCAAGTAAAATCTTTTACATACTATCACTTTTGTAAGTATTATCTTCTTTTAGATTTTATATTCGTTATAGAGATTATAACAGTTTTCAGTAAAAATTCGCTTTATAGTGCGTTTATTGTACCTAACTTTTGGTTAAAGAATTTAAAAAATAATCATAAAATGAATATGAATCAAATATTATATTTTTATTAAATATTTTTCGCAGTGGAAGAAACCCCATGTATGAACGGTATGACAAATTCTTATCGGTTCGCTACTTGCAGCAGTTTAAACGAGATTTTAATTAATAAAGCAACAAAGTAGCAATAAATGTTTTTGTTTACAAATATTATCAAAATTAAGAAAGTAATAGTTTATTGAACTCATGGTCAGCAAACTGACATTGAAAAATTTTAAAAGCGAAATGAATTCTTTCGCCAGTTGAATAATCAAGTCGTCAGGCGAAGGTATCGAAGTCGGTAGCAAAATATCAGCTGACGGAAACTAGAAAGAATCACATAGTTGAAATGAAAGCGACTAAGAAAAATGATTTCATTTCTCTGAGGACCAGTGAATGGAACGCTACATCACATCTCACATTTTGCAATTTCATTTTGTTCAACATTTCAATTGAAAAATAATGATTAGTACTACACAGAGAAGTGGACGGCAATTGGTGGCTACAACGAAGGCATTAAAATGCTTCATGCGTAGCATAAGTGTCAGTGTTCAGGAGCAGCAGGATCAATCAGTGCAAATGGTCTTAGTTAAGGAACATGAGAAGCAACAGCAAACAATGAAATTTCCAGGCATTTGGTTACGTGACAATTGTTTATGTGATGAATGCTTCCATAAGGATTCACTAAGTCGTAAACCATTACGTTGGAATAACTTTGACATGGCAGTTAAGGTGCAACATATTGTGGTAGGTGTTTATTTAATCAAAATAAATAAAATAATTTGATAATAACAGTCAACAATTAGAAATAATATGAAATAATATGAATTAATGAAAATTTATAATTTATTAAGAACAAATAAAAATATGAGAAGTGTGAAAAATAATAATGTTTTTGATGCAGTGATAACCAATTATTTATAAAATAATATAAGAAATTTAATCAAAAAAAATAATCATCAAATAAAATAATTAGCTAAACATTATAATAAAAAAGAAGTTTTAATGTAAAAATAATAAAATAACTATCTAAATAAAAAATAAGAAATTTATATATAAAATTGATTAATTAAGTTTTTGATTTTCGTTGGGCTTATGTCGTTTATTTAACACATAAAAATTATAAAAAAATTAAACTTATTAATTTGTGTTAAATATTTTTAATTATATTTTAATTTTTTTATAAAATTTTAACAACACAGATATTTCTAACCGCCTTAAGTGTGCGACGACATAAGCCCGGTAAAAATCAAAAAATTATTATAAATTGTGTTCGTACTAACAATTAAATATTTAATAATTAGTAATTAATTAAGTTAAATAAATTATCAATAAAATAATCATCTAATAAAATAATTAGCTAAATATTATAATAAAAAATTAATTTTAATAAGAAAAACTATATACAAATAAATTTTTACTCAAGACAGAAAATACATTGTATTTATTATTAAAATCCATTATTCTTTTAAAATAGACTGATGATTCTAAAAATGCTGTAAAAATAAATTGGTCTGATAAGCATACATCGACTTTTGACTTGAATTGGTTGAAGGAAAGAGACTTTTCTACTGAAAATCGTCAAAAATACATAAGTGAATGGTATCGTCCAGAGTCTAAGCATTGGAGTAAACCAGAGTTTCAAAAAATTTTGAAAAAATTTGAATATAAAGATGTAATGGAAAAGGATGAATGTAAGTATAATAAAAAACAAATAAAAATAAAATTTTATAATTAATGTTAATATAAAAGAGAATATAAAAAAAAATACATATATATTTCACAAATTTTTTAGCACTACTTCAACTGTTGGAGACCTTAGCAGTTTATGGAGTTTGCTTATTGAAAAACTCACCTCTCGACATTGGAGTAGTTAAGACATTAGCAGATCGTGTTGGTTTTATACGCAAAACAACTTATGGGTATGTAAAATTATTAATTAACCTTTTTTAGCCAAAAATGTTTTTTGGTAAAAATATATTGTATAGCAAGCAACTGCTAGGCTGGAGTTTTTGATACGCCCGAATATACTGGCGATGCAGTAAGGGCATGGGTTTATAACCCATGGGCTCATGAAGGTGACGAAGCTCCAATGTATCAATTGGTTGACTGGTGGTCTGGATGGCAACACAAATGAAAACAATTTATATGTTTAATTCATAAATCTTTATTTTGAGCGAGAATTGAATTTAATTAAACAATCAAACAATATTTCATTTAAATTTGTTAAAAAAAATTAAAATCCAATTAAATGTATATTTAGTCTGCATGATTGTCTAAATTTACTCATATAATTTTTTTACATATACATTATCAAAATTTTTTATTTTAAAAATTTATATTAAGATATATAAAAAAATAATGTACTATTCAAATTTTATTTTTCTTCCTTTTGTAGTGAAGAGTTCAGTGTAAAGTCTCGTCCCGGTGCAAAAAATTATTCCTATCTAGCTGAGCCCTTACCGCTTCATACAGATTTGCCATATTATGAATACAAACCAAGTGTCACAATTTTGCACACCCTAGAACAATCACAATCCACAGGCGGTTGGAACACACTAACCGATGCCTTTAATATAGCCGATCAATTGCGTGTCAAGCATCCCAAGCATTTTAAAATCCTTACTGAAACGCCAGTGGATTGGTGTGATATTGGCGTTGATGGAGGCGTTGAGTTTCATAACATTTGGCGTGCACCTGTCATCAAGTGAGTATGCTTTCAACATTAACTCGTTGCTCTGATTGACAACTTCATTGCTGAAGGTTGTTAACACAAAAAATTGACACCGATTTCATTGATTGCATTATTTACTTCCTTTGTGCCCGACTTAGCATTAAACTTATATTTTCTTTTACACCTCATTTCGTAGCCTGGATGCCGATGGCAAGTATGCACGCATCAATCACAGCGTTCCTCAGCGTGACAATCATTTCAGTGTTGATATAGACAAGGTGGCGCCTTGGTATGCCGCCTATGCTATGTTTGTACGTATGGCACACGAGCAGGCGGTATCGTTTAAAACAGCACCCGGAGATGTCTTAACGTTCAACAATCTACGTATGTTGCATGGACGTACTGGTTACGATGATACTGAAAAGAATGTACGTCACATAGTTGGAGGATTTGTCGATTGGGATATAATATACTCAAGGATGCGTGTGCTTAGAAAAATGTTAAATTGAATATGGCAAACATATTTCATTTTTTTAGTATATCGATTCTTTTATTAATAAGATAGTATTATTTAATTTTTTATAAAGAGTTTTATTTTTATAAAATTTAATAAAAATGATTTAAAATTATAAATGGAAATATATAAAATTATATTAATGCAATCAAAACTGAACTATAACTTTAAATACTTTTCACAAGATCAATATTTTTTATACAAATAATATAGTTTATTTTGTCCAATTGACCCATTTCAACTCCTTTCAAGAATTTCAGAATCTAGTAATTGAAATGCTGATTTCCTACGAATTTTCCTACGATTTCTTTTGAGGTCAAAAATCTACACTAATAGTGATGTTGGCGAAAATATATTACCGCTGTTAGATTATTATCTATCTGATTGATACAACGTCTGATTGATACATTATTATCTGATGATACAATGTCAGAGCTTTGTGATATGGATATGGATATATCAAAGCGCTTTATAAAGTCTCTTAGTTTTTGCCGATTCATAAAATATGTGTGACTCAGCAATATCATGATAATAACGTAACACATTTCCCATTGATTAGTTACGACTTTTTATTTTCAAAATCTTGCTTTACCTGCATTGGGAAAGACTTGATTTATTGATTTGGTTAAGTGCAAATAGGTTACAATGACTGACAACCTTACAGTCTTATTAGGTTCCCTGTAAGATTCCAGAACACTACGTTCCTTGTAATCAATTGTGGCAGTTGTAATGTTTTATCTCCAAATGATAACCAAATGATAACCGCATTACATTATTTTTAATGTTTTGCACATAGATTAGGTTAAGTTAGGTTTGGTGAAGTTAGATATTAGTCTATCGCGGCTCCATATAAGAACACACAAACTAAAAAACCACCTTAAATCTCTTTAAGAGACATAGAAGCTCTCTAGAGAAGCGCCTTGGAGTTGGCTAAAATAATATATTATATAATTTTTAGATATTAGATATAATATATATAATATGTTAGAAATAAAGTTCCTAATATAGTCAATCGGTATTGCGCATGGTTTATATATAAAAACATAATAGTTTTGATGTTGCTAAACAAAGCAGAAGTTGAACTGATTGAATTTTGAGAAATTGTGGATGTCTTTTTGGTTGCCTTTTACGGTTGTAATTTTTGCAGAGTATTATCGTGTGTAATCAAAGATATTTTTGTATTATTGTACAATTTTAATATTATTTTATTTTTTTTTTGTAATTTTAAAATTATTTTTACTCAGTTTTAGGAATTTAGAGGCATCCAAACGTTGATACTTATTTTGAAACTAGTTGTATGAAAATTTTTTCAAACTCTTTTGTTGTTAAATTGAGTATTCTGACGATATATCAACTGATTACTTGCTGGGTTTTTTCAGCCTAATATGAATCGTCATAGATTACTTTAAATAAAAATTCGAATATTTCCTATGAAAGAACGTTGTATGGTCAGCTTCATCATTACTGTTTGAACCCTTCTTGTGTCTTTTCGTTATCTTTTCGATGCGCCACATTCGTCAAAGAAATTAATATTATAATGAAGAAAAGATATTGTGGAAAGAACAGTAACTAATAATAGTCACGTTGTGTGTATTATCCACCTATTGAGGTAGTCTTAATAATTTTTGGAAATTCTTATCGTTATTTAGTATCAAAGTTTTTGCGCTGGTCTTTAGAATATGTAAGAATATTTGTTCTATAGTTTTAATTTATGCTTCAATGTAAATTATTATAATTTTACTAATTATGTTGTCAAGCAAAATTGATTAAAATTTATGTTGAGTCACATCTTCTACAAAAATGAGTATATTTATTGATAAGAAACATCGCAAGTTATGAGTGAAAGCATAAAATGATAAGACATGTATTGGGTGTTTTTATTAATGAAAAAGTGCGAGATACAAACTAAAATTAATTCGCAGATACAAGCTGGCCTTGAAATAAATTTGTTTTTCGTAAAATTCGTAGAATTAAAAAATATTTATAAACATTTTGTTTATAATCATTTAATTTGTTTTTACAAATATTATTGCAGTTTTAAGAATTATTTCTCCAAATTAAATATATTAAATATATTAGCATAAAACGTGTAAAATTATAAACAACATTTAGAGTGTAAACACATTTATTAGCGCAATAAAAAGTATTTAATTATGCCAATATTTCTGTTTACACTTATACTATGAGTAACATACGTGCTAGTTATTATAAGCAAATAAAATTATAATTTTATCTGTTTGATGTTGTTCAAAACAGATAAGAGCACGTGGACAGTTTTTCAGAAATCCCACAGTCTGGCGGGCCCACAAAAGTCTGACGTGTGGAAAGCTATAAGAAAATAGTTGGTTTAGTTAATTGAGTGGCTACAGAGTTTCGGATTCTGTCCAAATAGCGCATATAAATTATATATTAAATTCTGAACTACTTCTTAGGAAATAATTATTGATTTTTTGGTACTTTTAGTTTAAGAGTTGTCATAATTATTAATGGCAGTATTTGGATGATATTGATTAAAGGTTAAATATAATAACCTAATAATGGTAATCATTCGAACTCATTTAGTTCTGGAGTTAAATTCAGTTGAGAGACGGCACTAGTTATAAGTCTTTGCTTTGTTTTTTGAAAAATAATGTATTTAATATGCTTAATACATTATACTTATACTTAATTTCTAATCTAATTTCTTATAGTCTATACCTAAAATAATGTAACATAATTCTGTGATTATTAATTTTGGGGGCAACTTTGTAGTATTTCTTACGAATTGAAATTTCTTTAGTTATTGTTTCCTTAAAATAATTGTTACTTTTATAACCGCAAATTTACCCTCCCCTCATTCAACCTTTTCTTTTTTTAAAGCAACAGCCTACAAAATTTACCCTTTTGCGGAAACGTTCATGTAATATTAGGCTTTAGAATTTTACTATTTCTGCCCTTAAAGAAAAAGGAAAACTTTAACCCTTTTTGTCTGTTGCTATTGTTTATAAGTTCATAAAACTTAACGAACCGAATGTAACATAAAAGTCAGTTATCTGCATTAGCCCTTGCGTACTAATTTATATATTATTGCCTACAAATCGTTTATATACATTTTTTATTATTATTCGTGTTCTAAAAGAAAAGAATACAAGAATTTGTAAAAAGTCATATAATGTTATATACACCGTCTATTTTCTATTTTACTGAGGAAATGTGAAATTTTCAAAAATTATACCTTTGGGGTCAAATATCAAAGGCATAGTTCTTTTAAATTATATAGTGTTCAGAAATGCACTAAATTCAATGGATAATACTTTTTTAGATAGTGCTTAAAAGATTTATGAGCATTTAAAATATGTGTTCGATGGGAACCTATCTAACCTTAATGATGGTTTATCCATTTACCGAGTTAAGAGTGAACGTCACATTCTCTTCTTCAAAGACGTTGCTTACATAGAAACCAATTCACACTTTCCGAAAGAACAGTTAACATTTATTTCCTTTTCTTCAATGAAAGTCATGTAAAATAGGAAATAGGTGTACGTCAACCATATCTTGTGCAGATTGCGTTAGGTAGTTTTACGACGTTGCCGATTTATAGTCCCAAATTCAAATAGATAAAATTAAGCCCACAATAATTACGAGATTTATAAATAGTGTAGAATTGTTTTAGTTGGGTTTTTAGGCGCACAATAGATCTATTAGATAGGGATGCATTCATAGATTATTATTTAATAATAATAATGATCTCACCAAGTTGCGAGTTGATAAACTTCCACTTTCTAAGAAAGCGTGACGGTCCACAATATCTTCTACCCATCTTTGTTAGCAGTTTTGATTGCTTCTACTACTATCTACTCTTTTAAAGGTTTTTATTGTAAGAACAGCAAAAATATATTAAAATATCTGAGACTAACTTAAGCAAATGACACATATTTGATGTGAATGTGATATGAAAATATTTAATTCATTTTTAAAATATTTGTACTAAAATTCATAATAAAAATATTATGTTATCTTTTACAGGAAATCTTTTTGTAATTTAAGAAAGGACATCAACATCAACAACAAAAAACCGGGTTGAAGTAGGACTTGCCATATATTTCCGTTTCCTTCAACAAACACGCAACAATATACTATTTCACTTCCTTGTTGTCAATTTCGCTACTCCTTTCCTATTCATATGACACTTTGTGGCATATTCACAATGCATAATATTTACTTATTCATACCCCTTTGCTCCTTGTGTGTTTCTTTAGCGTTAACACATTTATTTTGACAATTGGCATAATGGCAAAAAGATTTGATAACATTTCTTGGCTGCGACACTGAATTCCTATGAACCCATCATTTCGCTGCTAACGCCTTCCGTGTTTGATTTTGCCACGCAAATCTCGCTACAAACTGTCGTACCGCCGATGTCATATCGTCTATTGATGTCGACTGCCACCAAATTGACATAATGATAAACATACGGCAATTGACGCAATCAATGTTGCCAATACTGATGAACTGATTTCCATGCAAGGCGTATGAATGAATTAAATTAAATTGTCCTGAATTAAATTGAGTTGAGTTGAGCTGAGTTGAAACGGCAAACGGCAAGCGGCAAACAGCAAACCCGACCGCAACGATTTGATAAGGACTCGGGAGGAATAAAATAAAAGGATATGACAAAAAAAAAGAAAAACAGAAAAGTGAGCATGAAACTGACAATGTTGCTGGTGATTAAAATGATTGTGGCGATGATGTTGAAGTTGAAATTGACAGTGAATGTGTTTTATGTTGTTGGCTAATGTAAAGGATTCGTTGGCGCATTGTTGAAAAGTAAGTTATTGTTGTAATTGCATATGAATGGGTTGGTCAACTTGATTCGTGCCTTTGTACGAAACAACCGACATCGTCAATAGAATGAAAAAAAGTGAACAAAAAAAATTTTAAATGAAAAAAAAAATGTAACTGCTGTCAATTTTGGTAATTGATATCAGAGCAATGAATATTTTTTTTTTTTTTGATGCTGGGTTTCATGAATTTACGACGACGGAAGGAAAATCGAAAATACAA